AATATATATATATATATATATATATATATATATATATATATATATATATATGTGTGTCGTAGTAAGCCGTAAGATGTGTGGTAAAGCGGTGGGGTAACAGTGGGAATAGGGAAGCACGCCACGCTGGCCGGCCGCACTGATTCACACAAATATTTACCAAAATACAACTTAATTAACCGTTCATTCGTATATCCTCACAAGACGCTACCTAATGTCTCCAACATAAAAGGAACTTTAACACCAAGTCCTAAGAGTTCACATTCGATTATTTTGTGGTACAAACATTGTGGGTGGTCAAAGAAAAGGATTAAAATAAGCAATTAGAGTGTAAGGTGGTAAGTCCGGGCGCGGGATTATCTAGTTCACTTGTAGTTAACATTTCTCAGGAACATTGTGTTTATATTATATCAGTATTTAGTATGATTTTATTCAGGTGAAAATGATAACTAGAACATATAAAGATTAAGAAAGGAGGAGAAGAAGGTAAGGAACACTTACTTAGAAATAAACTATATTACAATTGAATGTGACCATTATTATATTACATTTATTGCGAACTTGTCTATTTTCTAAATTCATCATCAATATAAATAAAATAAAGTTACCCAAATATAACGACGTAGTAGAATGAACTTTAACAAAAACTTTGTTACTCAATAAAACATCAATTAAATGAAATCTAAGCGCTTAATAATATACTGAGCTTAAAACTGACAAAACAGTTTTCCTTAAATAAACCTTTACAAAGTTAACAATTTACCTTCGTGACATTGAATACAATACATCTCTATGACAGCTGTGACTGGAGCTGGACGTTATTACAATATCATTGCCACATTTGTAAACGTCGTTAAAATATTTATTTCTATCGTAAGTATACAAAAAATTGCCAAATAGAGAGGTATCGTTTACACAAAGCCGTGGTATATCGTTTGTGAACACAAAGCGACCGCGGAACGATATTTTGCGGCTTGTGTCGTGTTGTGGTGACAATTTGTCGGCGACGCGACAAAGACGTCGAAAAGACGCCGGAAGTTGACAAATAATGCCTTTGTAGGCTCCTTTTGCGAAAGTAGGTAACCATGTTAATTTGTTCTTTTTTAAGCTTATAATAATAAGGTTATTTTTATAATTGTAGATTTCCTGCTTCGGCAGTACTTCTGCAGCTTTACTAGGAAAAAGAGTGGTCGAGAGACAGGGAAGGGGACGAGGTATACGGTAGTTCATCTATAAAACAAAACGAGCATAAGACATTTCAATGTTCCCGCTCGAGTCGAGCCAGTCGCTCAAAATGTACTAAGTATATAACGTTTTGAATTTATAACAGCATCCTTATATGATTTCATTGTGAGAGATTAAGAAATAAATAACTATATCCCAGACGGCCTAATACTTCGTGTCACAATATGCTGAGACTTGTAAAGAAGCATCATCTCGTACCCTGCTGCGGCAGAGTACAGTAGAGTGCCGGCTGACGGCTGTTGTGCGGCAAGCACTGCACACTGCACACTGCACACTGCAGAGTGCTGACCGCCCGCGGCGCTCTGCATTATTAGTGGTTATTAAAGTTTCCACAACAAGCAGCGCGCGGACAATAAACACAGAGGGCGCGCGCAGCGAGGATTACGATGTTACTTACTATATTGTTCGTTATATTTTGGGGTTGCGCGGCAAATGAGCAAACCTCAAGTCAAATCTTGCTCTTGTACTTATATCGTTAAGGTATAAATACAGTAATAAATTCTCCAACAGTAACTAAAAGATTTTTTCTTAAGGAGAGAAGGAAAAACGCCATCTGTTGAC